TTTGAAGGGATGATTGTTTAGTAAATTATGGGAACAGCTTCTTATAGGGAAGTTGTTTTGATGATCGCTATGAAAGTGACCTCAATTGTGCCATTCATACCATAACATGCATTGGACTTCACTATAATATGGTTCATATGTTTAGCAAAACTAATGTTTCCTTTTATCATAAACTGCTCTCTATTTTATGGATTTGCTTTCAAATGAATAGAAACAGACTTTTCGTTATATGAAAAGAATATTCCGTAATATTAGTGATGAAGCATTGGTTTATTGCATGTAATCTATGATACTCTCCGTTACACACACTGTATATTCAGTACACAGTATTTATTTTACCGATTTTCTGCATTATTCCTCTATTCATACATTTTGTCAGAATTTTAATCAATTATTGATAAACTGTTTGTGAATAGTAATAGAGTTTTGTGTTTTACTATCAATAAAAGCTATAAATACATTAAAAATTTAATTATTAACGAAATGTCTTTTTAGATCAAATTAATAATTCATTTGATTAATGAATTTCTCGTTTAAACACAAACTTATTTCTCGTATAAAACTCGTGATTGTGTTTCACAATAGGATTTGAAGCTCTTTATAGCCCTATCGGTGCTCACTATCAATGAAAGCAAATTATTGAATCACAGCATTCAGTGTCTGTATTACAACCCCTTATAATGTATAGTATTTTTAATTTTAATTTAAATTTAATCAATCATTCATTCAAATGAAAGCTTTGTCTCAAACTTTTGGGAAAAGACATCATTTGTGTGCAAATCGTGAGACAAATGGGAGGCGTTTCTCGAGTAATACTAACAATGAATTCATACTTCGGGGCCAAACACTCTCACACTTGCGATAGTGTTATGTGTAAAGCAATGAACGCTATATTGAAGTGAAACAACAAATTGACAATTGGTTTGCAAATTGTGTTTCATTTGATTCACCGATTGTTGCACTCAAACAGTGTTGTTGTCGTCGTTGTGGTCACCGTCGAAGACACGGATCAACTCATAACAAGATGGTAAGTGTGAGGGCAATGCGTAAACATGAATGGTATGGTTGTGTTGAGGTTGTGGTGACTGATTGTCTTGTGTTGTGTCCACAGTTGGTGTTAGTGATGGGCGACACTCACATCCCCTACAGGTGTCACTCACTTCCGGCCAAATTCAAGAAGTTGTTAATTCCCGGACGTATTCAACACATCTTATGTACGGGTAATCTCTGTACCAAAGAGTCGTTGGACTACTTGAAGACATTGGCCACTGATGTCCATATAGTTAGAGGCGATTTCGACGATGTATTGACCACTTTCTTCGGCCATATTATGAACTAAACGATTGACCATTGATTTGATATGTATTGACAGAACACGTCATACCCCGAGCAGAAGGTGGTGACTGTGGGACAGTTCCGGATCGGCTTATGTCACGGCCACCAATTGGTCCCGTGGGGTGACAACGAGAGTCTGGCGTTGATTCAGCGACAACTGGATGTGGATATACTGATCACAGGACACACGCATAAGTTTGAGGCCTACGAAAGTGAGGGTAAATTTTACATAAACCCGGGCTCTGCCACCGGCGCCTACACCGCACTCGAGAGGTATACCACTATTTGATACGACTCTTTGCCATCAATTGGTCTCATGAGCTAATGATGATGTGTTGTGATTGACAGTAACGTGATTCCATCGTTTGTCTTAATGGACATCCAGTCGACAACAATTGTCACTTATGTGTATCAACTCATTGGCGACGAAGTGAAGGTCGAAAGGATTGAATACAAGAAATCATAGATTGGATTCAATTGTTGTTTTAGTTCTCTCTCGATTTACAAACAAATGTTGTGTTATTTTTAGACCGAAATATTAATCGTTTTGTAATTTTTATCCAAATTTTGCTTATAATATATTATATACTCTAAAATCAATTCATTATAATTTATATCCAATTAATTGTAATTTATTTTCTAATGATTTTAATGATTAAAAACAATATTTTTTGTAAATTTGACTGATTTTTTACAAGAGGTATAAATCTTAAAAAGTAATCCAATGATTGAAAATTCACTTTAAAAAGGCGTTAAATATAAACACAAAAGTAGTTTTAAAAACACAATTATTCACAATTTTTATAAGAGACCATTGCTTTCACTTTATGGATATTTGTCGAAAAGCTTCTCAGTTCCACTTCTTCGGCGTTTGGGATCAGATGCGGGTTAGAGTCGGACCAAAGGGCGGACGGGAGGTCTGCGTCCTTATCGGTGAACAAAAGCAAATCAAAGCAAAACTTTCCCTCCAATAGCGGTAGAAATGTAACGCTGGCTGTGATCTGACGAATCACATCCCGAATGCCGCTCTGGATCTCCTTGTGGTCGACAATCTTGGCCTCGGAATCGGCGATACTTTTGTCGACATCGATGAGGAACTCCCAGCGCTCCACAGTCTCCGTCGTCTCCATATTGACGATCACTAATACTATTTTGTGGACACTCTTTGTCAACATAAATGTCTTCAGTTGTGACAACACTATCGCCAGATATTCCTTCAGCTTCTCGTCGATTGTCATCAATAAAGTTAACCCATATTTCTGGGAATGAATGAACTGTTTTTGGGGCGCAAAGTGGCGTCAAATCAATTGTCACCGATTGGATCAACTCGTGTGCATCACTTACCCGATCGGATGGATATAATCCTCTTTGATATAAAATACTATTAATGCCATAATCTGTCAGAAATGTGTGACCATTAAAACGAGTGATCCTTTTGCGAGACAATGTGTGTTGTCTTAAGACTTACCGAAGAACTCAGTGATGATATCAACGGATCCCTTAAGTGTGATTGAATTGCAGACCAATGTATTTGAACTCATGTTTGAATCGATGGTAACCTTATATCAAGTATTCAATCAATTGTTTGTCTAATTGAGTGTTGAATTGATTGAACAGTTTATGCATCCATTCATTGATCGCCAAAACAAAGTGTGAAATGAATTTCAAATCTCAAAACCAAACTTTTCTATTGGTTTGCATTTCGAGTATAGGTTTGAGCGCTAACTTTGAACACATGTTTGACTGCAAAATTCAGTCATATATTCATTTATTTTAATTCAATTATTACATTTAATTATTAATTCTAATCTATTATTTAAATATTTATCTTTAAATTACTATTTTTCAACATAAACACAGAAATTAAATTTTAAAAAATAAATAAATTCACTTCTTTGGTGTGAAAACTCAATACTGAAAACAATCGACAAAATCGTGTGATAAATAAATACACTTTTATTCGCAAAATATTTTATTTTTAATTTTATTTAATAATTCAATACAAATGAGAATAAAATATGCATTTAATGAGTAAAATATTATAATTTAATTATAAACAATAATAAAGATTTAACGCCTATTCTTGGATGGCTTTTGTCTTTGTTTGGATTTGTTATTATTCTTATTATTCTTACTCTTATTGGGTTTCTTATTATTCTTGCCTTTAGTGTTAGTTTTATCGTTTTTCTTATCCTTCTTCATGCGTTGGTCGACCACTTTATACCTACCCTTTATTCCTTTGGGGGCTCTCTTTCCCTGATGTTTCTTCGTCACCACATAAGTCACCTCTTTCTTGTTGCCCTTCAGAGCCTTCTTATAANGTTTTATCGTTTTTCTTATCCTTCTTCATGCGTTGGTCGACCACTTTATACCTACCCTTTATTCCTTTGGGGGCTCTCTTTCCCTGATGTTTCTTCGTCACCACATAAGTCACCTCTTTCTTGTTGCCCTTCAGAGCCTTCTTATAAGCACTAAATATGAATAACAAAACAATTAATACATTGAAAGCATTCAATTTGCAAACATAATTACTTCTTAATGTGTTGAGCCTTTTCGGTGTTAGTCATGTCGGGAGCGTTAGTGATGTATTCGGCTCTCTTTCTGGCTCTCTCTAGTTTTATCAACGCTTTCTTCTTGTGTCTGGCCTTCGCTTCGGTCACCTTTTTGATGGGTCGGGCGTTGATCTCTCGGAGTTGTTGTTTGTATTCTTTAACCATTTCTTGAGTGACGGGAAGAGGTTTTCTGAAATACTTTTCCTCGTCTTTCCTGAACCACGAGGGGAGGAACTCGTCGTCTTCCTGGACGTAACGGTTCCACGCGTTGTCCAAAATGTCTCGTTTCGTCTTTTGAGACTTAATCATAAGAGTTCCGATCGCCAGCTCTTGAGGATTGAGTTTCACGTCTTTCTTACATTTTTCGTTCGCTTTGTTTACATTCTTTTGCTTCTTCTTTGGCCTCAAATCGCTTTCATCCTCAGAACTCATGTCATCGCTGTCTTCAATCTCTTCCTCTATTTGCCGTTTATTTGGTTTTTTCTCTCTTTTGTCATGAATTTTATTTTTATTCTTCAATCGATTCTCAATGAGTTCTAATTCGATGTCGTCGTCCTCGTCGTCCATCTCTTCGGTAAAGGCTTGGCTCTCGAAAAACATTTTCGTTTTATTTCGTTTCGATTCCTTACTATCGATGAGATCGACGACCAAACCGTCGTCGTCTTCATCACTCTCTTGGGCTCCATTTTCCAAATCGTTTTCTATTTCGATATCTTCGTCAGCGATGCCTTCGCTCTCACTCTTTTCCTCTTCCTCTTCATTGCCGCTGTCGTCAAAATCGTGTGCACTCTTCAGCCGATCGTCTCTGTCATAAACAACGCGATCACTCTTCTTGAAAGTCTGCTCTCCGTTGTCATTGTCTTCTTCCACATCGACCTCAACGTCACTCAAATTGATTTCTTCGATTTGATTGAGAAGTTTTTTGTTGCGAATGTTTTTCAACTGAAATAATTCCAACTCTTCTTCGATTAATTCGTCGTTTTTCAAAATCATCTTTAAATTCATTCTTTCGTTTAGTTTTCGCTTCTCTTTAAGAATTTTCCTCTTTTTTCGCTTCAATTCTCGCGCCTCTTCGTCCATATGTCGGTCCACTTCATCCACTTCTGATATGTCTTCCTCTTCGATCACATCCTCTTCTTTCGCCTCATCTTTTGTTGTCTTTTCCTCTTTAATCAGATCTGTTCTCAATTTCTTTCGCCAATCAATTAATGCACTGAAAGTATAAAATTATTTTAAAAAAATCCATCAAAAGAAATGATAAGCCATTCATTCATTACATTAATTCTTTTCTGCCGAGAACTTTGATGTCTTGACAGCACTCTATTAGCTCAGGAGTAGTGAGTCGATGATCTTGAATCTCCTTCGTATCCATTATTATCTGTATTGAAAACAAATATTTTTATAATAACTTATTAACAATAAATCAAATAATTAAAGGCAACCAAAAAATCATACTTCGCTGCAATCACTCAACAATTGGATGTGATTTTTACTGGAAATAAATTCCGATGCCTTCAGCTTATGGTATAGCGTGTAGTCTCCGTCGGCGTATCCGTCGGCCTTTGCTTTCTTCTGCATTCAATTCTCGCGCCTCTTCGTCCATATGTCGGTCCACTTCATCCACTTCTGATATGTCTTCCTCTTCGATCACATCCTCTTCTTTCGCCTCATCTTTTGTTGTCTTTTCCTCTTTAATCAGATCTGCTCTCAATTTCTTTCGCCAATCAATTAATGCACTAAAAATAGAAAATAATTTTAAACCATTGCTTCAAAACAAATGATAAGCCATTCATTCATTACATTAATTCCTTTCTGCCGAGAACTTTGATATCTTGACAGCACTCTATTAGCTCAGGAGTAGTGAGTCGATGATCTTTAATCTCCTTCGTATCCATTATTATCTGTATTGAAAACAAATATTTTTATAATAACTTATTCACTATAAATAAAATAATTAAAAGCAACAAAAATTCATACTTCGCTGCAATCACTCAACAATTGGATGTGATTTTTACTGGAAATAAATTCCGATGCCTTCAGCTTATGGTATAGCGTGTAGTCTCCGTCGGCGTATCCGTCGGCCTTTGCTTTCTTCTGCATCATACTTCGCTGCAATCACTCAACAATTGGATGTGATTTTTACTGGAAATAAATTCCGATGCCTTCAGCTTATGGTATAGCGTGTAGTCTCCGTCGGCGTATCCGTCGGCCTTTGCTTTCTTCTGCTTTATCCCCGGCTTTAAAAGATTGGTTTTAATCTTACGTTCGCTTTCTTCCGCGTCTTCCACTTCTTCGAAGACAAACGTCGGGTCAAAGAATTTGGGATCAATTTTGTCGGGCGATGTATAGCCCTGACAGACGACAAATATCTCGGCCGATTCGTTACGCGAGGCCTGAGGTTTAGTGGCGTGAACTTTGTTGAACAGCTTCTTGAAGACCCACATCAATGAGTTGTAGTCTTTGGATCGAAACACTTTCGTCACAAACCATCCGCCTTTCATCAGGAACTCCGTGGCCAACGACAGGGCCGACAGTGTCAGCCGATTCTGGTTGAAGGCGTCGTGCAGCCAACTCTTGCCCACATTGCCGGCGCCGTCGTGGAGCACAACATCCGCCTTCCAGGTCTTCAGCTCCTTCTGCAACGCTGTGCGGCAGTGCTTTGTCGTGATGTCGTCCTGAATGGTGATCACGTTATGGATGTTCTTAATGGGCACCAAATCCACGCCCACCACAACACTGGACACCGGCATATACTTCTGGGCCACTTGAAGCCAACCGCCCGGAGCCGCGCATAAGTCGATCAACACCTTTGAGCGCTGAAGAAACTCAAACTTCCGGTTCAATTGGATCAGTTTGAAGGCCGCACGCGATCTGTAACCTGGAGGTCGACGAGACAAATGGTGTCAATGAGTTCAGTGATCATTAAATGAGATAATAGTGTAAGTGTGGACACATTACCGGTCTCTTTGGCCAAATGGTAGTACCGATCCTTTCGCTGTTTTCCGGTCTTCACTTTACGACCCATTTTGTGGTCAAATCAATGATTTACTAATTGTTTGAATCAATAATTCAATTATGCTTTCAATGAATGCCTCAAATTGTGAGACAAACTGAATGCCAATTATTGCCCGCAAAAGAGTCAACAAAAACACATGTGCTTTAAATCACTGGTTGTTGTAATAAATGCTGTGACAAGTAATGACACCTATAGTGTTGTTACAGCAAAAATGTGCCCAATTTTATGTACTGTATTCTAACTATTATAGGACATTATTTCTCATTTATTTAGCATGGTCTATTTTCTTTAATTTCGCGTTAAATTAATTTTAATAAATGTTAACATTTGTAAAATTTAAGGATATATTAAATTAGTTTTGTGTTTAAAATTTTCAATTAAAAAATGCCTGCAATTAAAACATAAAACATTCTCCAAAATATATAAATATTTTAATTATTTTTGTGCATATTTTTTATAATAAGTAATTCATGTATAGAAACAATTGATTTTATTTAAGTTTACATTTAATTGGATAACAATATTAAATAACAAAACAATAATTATTATTTATGATTAAACATTGATATATTAGGAAATTATTAAATTTGTTGGGAAAGTTGTATAGTTTCAGTAGATTTATATGGCATTCATTATTACATAGTTTGTCTATAATTGTTTGTCTATATAGTGTAATACAGAATACATTGAATTTGACGTAAATTTTAAAATTTGTTGCAATAAATACATAAATTTTAAATTAATTTCAAAGTCTTTCTTTAGTTATTTTTAATTCTATGTCATTTGTTACGCGAGAATCACGATTTGGTGGACACTTATCGCTTAGATTGTCATTCAATTGCAATTCATTGATATTAATAATCCTTGAATTCAATAGAGAACACAACGGAATCTCAAGAATCCATGAAATCACGAACGATAAAAAGTATGTGAATATTATATTACCGATGATTACATAGGCCTATAGAGTGGGACACGAATAAACAAATGTGTTAATGGTTTTTGAATGCATATAATCGATGGTTGAATATATGTTTTTACCATAAGAAGAGTGGAGCTGTAGAGGTGCTGTTGTTGGCTCGACAATAGCATCGACTGCACAATTGGATGCATAAGATATGCCACAAGAGTGAGACGACCCATGAATTTGAAGAATTTGTGGCAAAAGAATTTCTCGACAATTGTCTGCTTTTCGTGCTCTGAGTTCGCGGTTATAGTGAAGAGAATCCAACAAATGGCTAACGACCAGAAGATCTTCTGAGTCGCGTCATACAGAGCCGACACAAATGGCTAGACATGAAAATTATTCACATTTTCACAAATCATTAGATTTTCATTTAAAATTGCAAATCATGTAAATCTTAAACATTATTTAAATAGTTAACATTTACAATTGTTGTTTTGCTAAACATAATTATTATATTTTAGCTTAATACTTAATGTAAATTTCATTTATTTATTTGATTGAGTTTTAAAGTAATTTAAAATTCATAATTACTTTGAATGTATACTGTATTTAATGCTAACATATTTTATTTTAAACTCAAAGTAATTATAAATAATGTTCAATCAAGTAAATCAATTCAATATTATAGAAAATTTTGCAATTATTGCAAATAATTAAACAATATTTAGAATGAGAGCAAAATTTTAATTAAATTCAATTAATACTAACGTCAGGCAACTCTCCGATAACCCAGTCGTGACAGCCATATATTAGCACTAATAAGATAACTATACTAATGGGCCAACCCGTCGATGATTTAACCTATAGGTAAAATTATTTATTAAACTAAATTTAATATAAATGCAAATTTCAAACATTACGTACAGATTTAGTGTAACCGTTATAATCATCACATTTACTAATCCGTCGAAGAGCTCCGGCATAGAATCCAATGGCAAACACTGATAGATGAGTCCAGGGTTTGTAAAAATAAATATGAAAATATTCATCTCTTTGTCTAAAATTGAAATATAATTTGTATAAATAAATTGCGTTAATATTAATGTAATGATAAGAACAAACTCCGGGTCGGGTAGTGTCCAGAAGAAGTTTGGCGGCAATTCATACATATATACAATGATTGCGTTCACAAAAAATCCAATTATGGATAGAATGGGAAATAAAAGCCAAAATACTTTCGTCGACCTCTCATTCACTTTATTTAATAAAACAATTAACGGAATAAATACTATCGATAATTGCATTTCCACACAGAATATCCACGTATTTGGCAAACACTTTAGTAAATGGAAATCATTTTAAGTAATCATTTCAATGCAATAATTAATTGATTTACTGTTTTATCCAAAGGAAGAAAGTTTTGAATATAAAATAAGTTCCAGAGACCACTGTTTTCGCAATTCCAGGCCTTTTTTAATATGAAATCATGAGTTAATGGACCCCTCTTTAACAGATTCGGCAGAAGTATAGTTATGCTCGCAATTAACACAATTATGGGAGTCACCCTGAATCGGTTCAAACAAAATAACCATATGTTAAATTAAATCACAAACATTTCTGTTTAAATAAAACCTGAGGTATTTTTTAGCGATGAATTGCATCACTTGTATCGCATTTTTACCAAAGTTATAATACGATAACGAAAAGGCAGATATTAATAAAAGACACTCAAATTGGTTAATACTATTAGTGAACAACTGGGCCGGAAACTGCATCGCCAGTGTTTTTATTGTCTGCATTTCACCTAAAAAAATAAAGTTATTAATAAATTTAATAATAATTTTGTCATATAATTCGTACGAAAGTACTGGAAGTCGACCACAACTACTGTATGGACTATAATAATCCATATCAAGACAATGGCTCGGATGCCG